GTGGCAGTATCATTCTCTGCGCAAGCTCAAAAGTTTTGCTGATCTATCGGTTCTGCTTGGGATGACAACAAAATTGAAAATATGTTCAAGATTTCTGGGGATATTGTTATTATCAGTAGTAGTCGTTTGATATTATTTACAAGGGCCCATAGAGTCTAAAGTTGAAATGGCAATAGGTGGAAGGCTATTCAAAAACAGTACGCAGAATCCGAGTCAGCTTTCTCGTTCAAATCAACTGCAAAAGTTCGTCCGGCTTCAAGCTCACACTTCCCGCGCCCACAGCGCATGGCCGGACAGGCACCAATTGGGTGCTCACGCTTCCGTTGCCAGTCTCCATGTGCAGCCTGGAGGACATTGGCAGGGAATTTTGCTTGGAAGGGCTGTGGATCGAACATTATGGAACATATCATATTACCTGTAGCAACTTATTATTTGCCAACTTATTGCACCGGTTTATTAGCCTGATGATTGAGTAAGTGGTAAAGTCATAAGAAGACAGGCTGACTATCATAATACTTATCAATGCGAAAACCAGTAAGCCCCACCCCAAAAGCCACCTCATGCGCCAAGCAATGATAATGTTGGGCGAAAGCCTCGTCTTCGCCATGTCAAGCTTCGCCCCAAACGTCAAAGCATTGGCGGCCTGTCAGGGCAGGGGAAGAGGATTCGATAATAATATTTACTGTATACCCTGGTTGGGGGTTGATACCAAGAGGACACCATCAAGTTGTTGATAACAAATAGATTGACACCACATAAGCCAACCTATGCGTGTTTTACTTCCATTTTGCACTAAAATTTGAAAAAGGGACTAAGCTAGCCAGTTTTATTTTTGTTGAACCAATCAGACCTTGGCCCTCTTCCGTGGCTTCAAAGCATCGAGAGTGAAACAAACGTTATCGAGAGGCTTCACACCAAAGTTGCCCGCGGAGTCTTTGGTCAGCTGATGTTCTGCCAGCTGAACCCCAACCTCCGCCGCATCCTCCAAGCTTTTGAGCACAGTGTTGAGACTCATCACCTGTAGGGTTTTTTTTGAAGAACAATACTGACTATGTACTAACTAATAATTGTAGGGGGTTTGTGTTTACACATGGATTTTGAAACCCTTGTGTTTGAAGTACTCGCCTTGTTGAAGAACGTCGCGCTCTCCAAGTGGTCTGGTGTCTTCCGCTGCTTCTCAAGAATGATCAAAGCCTCATTGGAGTCCATGAAGTACCGAACCCACCGACCATCGGCAGTCATGACATCTTGGGCTTCACTGCCTTTGAGGAAGTCTCCGCTGCCGAACCCAAAAAGTTCTGTGTGCTGTGGCACTGTATACTCAGCAGTGCTGCACCCAACCCACAGCTGCCCTGCATTCTCATTGAGGTGAAGCGAGAAGCTGCCAGCATTCAAAGTGATCCTGATGGGTCATTGAAAACAAATCACATGTGCAGCCCTAGTTGACTATCAAACATCAAATTACCCAGTAGCCTGTGTCCTCACTAAGATTGACTATTAAAACAGCCTACCTTAATAGTACAATTTTTAAGACTATGAAATTTTCTTGGACATCAGTCCTCTCTGCCTCTGGACACTGAATCTCAAGCTCTCCCATCGTTGCCTTGGTTCCAAGGCAAAGCCTCTTGGACGGTGGTCCTTCTTCATCTCCCTCTGGAACCTCAGACTCGCTCCCCCTCCTCAATCCTTCCGGATTAAACTCAGCATTGTGCTTGTCAAGCAAGGAGGTGAACTTATCAGCAAAGTCAGCCCCTTTGGATCGCCAAAATTGTATGAGCGACTCTTTCACAACGAGCACTCCATTGCCGGTGGGCACGCAAACTTCATAGGTCGGCGGCGGCGAGGATTGAAATTGCTTCAGATCAGTGAGAGCAGCGCTGAAATCAGGGAACCCAGCAATCTTGTACTCGGCGTTTTTGGCCATGCCGAACAACTTCTGGGAAAGGATGCCACTCACAAAGCCCGCCTCCAGCTTTGTATGACAAACTGTGGCGCAGGCAACTTTTTTTCCTCAGGGTCCAAATTAGATAAACTTACCCACTAACTTTAAGTCAGAACGATTTTGCTCAGGGTCTAAAATTTGCATACTTAAGTCTTGATTGGAACATGACATGTTGAGCTCAATGTCCCAACTGTCTTCGAGACACTCATTTGAAATTCAAGACTTGAAATTCAAAGCTTCTTTATCCAAACAATTTTACTCAGGGTTCTAAATTGAAATATTATAAACCGCGTTTGCAACATTACATGTTGACCTCAATGTCCCAACTGTCCTCGAGACACCCACTTGAAATTCAAGACTTGAAATTCAAGATTTCTACTCCAAACAATTTTACTCAGGGTTCTAAGTTTAAATCTAAACCGCGTTTGGAAGATGACATGGTGACCACAATGTCCCAACTGTCCTCGAGATGACTGAACAATGGAATAGCATCCAGGCCTTCCATCAAAGCCGAACAAGTCCAGGAGCACCGTGGGGACCTCGCCGGTCGTCTGCAAAGCCTCCACCACTTTGGAGATGAATGAGGTGCCACCACAGAACTGCGGCAGGGGTTTTGTCAACTTTTGTACTGTATGACAAGATTCACTTTTTTGGTTGGCATCCTATAGACGGTGTTACTATGAAGTGGGATAGCCATAAATGGCTTAATTACTGCTTTTATTGCTTAACTCCCTGCGAGCAATACTATCAACAATGTTTGGCTACTAGAAACCACTTGAAACCACAGGAGGTAAAAACCTGCAACTGGGCAGGAAATGACAGGGCAATGTGATTTGATTGATTTCAAAAACTCCCGGGCCTGTTTCATTTCCTGGACGCGTGTGAATCGCCCGTCAGCTCCGTACTTCCCCTCAGATCTTGGAGGTTTCAGCATTTCTGATCGGGGCAGCATGGAGATGTTGGACACATGCCCCTGTTTCCAAAGACTTGACTTGTGGAACACGTTCTTTGCATCACCTGCTGTCACAAGCAAGAGTTCTTGCCAGCCAACCCGGCTTCCGTAGATGGAAGACGGTTCAAATGACGCCATCACAGTTTTGACCTTGAATGATGGTTCAGAAGGCTTCACATGTTGGGTTGCCCCCTAAAATGCTCATTATGATTATTATGTAGTAATTAATTTGGATCCGTGCATCTATGAATATAACTTGTCAGATCCTGACAAATATGGGACTTTCTTTGGGGCAAAATAAATGCTAATGACCAACTACTTGAATCCAGGTAGCAGTCAACTTACGGTTGCGCTCCATCAGCATGCAGCGAAGTTTGTAGTTGAAGTCGCGAAGAATGCTCTCTACCATGGCATCTTTGGAATCCATGTCATCATTGTCGTCATCCATACGGTCTTCATCACCTTTCAGGGAAATCTATAAACCCAAAAAGAAAACTTATTACCCGTATTATTCCACATTATCCCCCATTATCACCAATGGGATAGGACACCCTATGCCTATGACCCAGTACATCAATCCAGGGTCTGCAAATGTGCAAGGCTTGGCAGCTTGGCCTCCGTTCTGATCCTCCTCTTCATTGCCAGAATCCTCAGCTTTCACCTCTGACCTGGGCTGGGAATATTTCAAAGATCTTGGTTTGAACACGTACTTAGTAGCCACTTTAGCCTATTTACTTGTTGTGTTTTAAAAATAGGAGTCAATTACATACAGGAAATTCAGTGATAAAACATATTTAGTATGTAACCAAGTGACTTGCAACCATTGG